CAGGGCAAGAACAACAGGGGGCCCTGCCAGGAAACTTATATTGGTGAAACGGAGAGGTCTCTAAAAGCCAGGTTTCAGGAACATACACGGCCTAGCTCTGCCAGTTCAGAGGTGTCTCAACACATTCACATAGAGTCACCCGGACACCATGTCTCACTTGACACTGTAAGGATTTTAGACACTGAACAAGACTATTTCTTGAGAGGGGTGAAGGAAGCCATTTACATCAGGGCCCATCACCCTACATTGAACCGCGACGGGGGCCGACATCGTCTACCAGATACCTCTGACCCAGTGTTGACGTCACACTTCAAAGAAGCCATGTGACAAGCTTCACTGGGTCAGTCTACTGAGGAAGACCAGAGTGACTGGTCGAAAGCTCTAGGTGAGAGAATTTTTGTGTTGGATCAAAAGTTTTAACTTTAAACATGTTGGATTGTGATTTTTCTGTGCAGCCATGTGCATCTTTATTTGTGAGAAGAGAACAAGACGCTTTGAAGTCTGAATGGAAATAACTTTGAAACATGCATGTGATTTGTAGGGCAGTGCACCAAGGTTCTTAAACTGAGAAACTTGACCTGAATGAGCTCAGGAGTATTGATTTTTACCTTCTGTGTGGAATTTGATACCAGTGACTTCATATCAGAGTTCAAATCTCCGTCATCAAACGGTAACTCAATAGTGTCGACCAAGGTTACCTCCCACAAGGACTGTACCTCTGCAAGTTATTAGTTACATCAAAACACTATCCAGCTATTCATATTTTTCATAACGATCTAATAATACCTTTATTCAGCTCCAGTAATCATGAACAGCTTGCGTCTTCACTTAAAATTGAATGTAGAAATATGATGAGCTTCACGCTTGGTTAAGTTAGACATTTCAACATGTGTCGACGACAGAGCTTTTAATTTTATGACTAGACATCCAAATGAATCGAAACTCGCAAATTCAGAAATATCATTTGACTTAATAATGTTCCTTTTTGTGTATTTATCTGCGCACATTTTTGCAAATTTTTCAAAAGAACTACACAAGTCCAAGAAACTTTCAAAATAACCTGCACAAGGCAAATCTACATTGAACCACTCATTCCCTTTGACTTTAACTTGAATTAGCCCACCATTAAAAAATATGCTTTGGAAATTTCCTAGTAGCACCATAATCTTGTTATCTGCTGTATTCAACCTGTTATACTAGGAAGGTACATCCTGGTGTGATGAGGTCACTGCGACCCAAAGGAAATTAAATGTTTCCTTTTAGAGTTGCTTACATTCCGACAGTCTAGTCTATGGCCTTAAGGGCTGTAGCATCTGAAATTGTAGCTGAAAAATACACATTCTACAGGAAACTTGAAATTTTGAAGCTACTCTTGACATACTATAAGTGGTTATTGTGATTGTCGTTATAACCATTTACAAACCCTCGAACATTGATAAGTACGAAATGAGTTTGGAAAATTAAAAATAATAAAATTTTGATTACCCTACACTAAATCAAGTGTGCAATATATGAGAAAATAATTAACAAGCCTCTTCAATTTTGTATTTGTTTACCTCTATGGCGGACCTCTTACTAGTCTTCCCAAAGTATTTCTGAACAAAATTTAAACTTCCTTTTTGTGTTTATAACTAGTTTGAAAGATATGCATTACAGTCATAATTACACAAACAAATTCTACCTATGCAACTGAACCAAGAAATGCATCTCCATCCATTCACCTGTGCTATTTGCTTCTCACTGATTTCTTGTTTACACAGTACTCTCCTTAGTCAAACACCAGATAAAGCCTTGATAGGCATGGCTAGGTCTGTATAAAAAGGCTTCATGGTGTTGAGAGCAATCCAGGGGGGTTTACCTGAATTGTTTAGAGGTGTGATTAGCAAGAGCAACACCTTGGACAATGGCATCACTTTACATGTTTGTAATAACCTATTGCATACAGATAGACACACCTATTGTCTTGATGTAATACTGTGTATCTCACACAGCTATACATATCATTTTTAAGACACAATGATCATTTTGCACTACAAGAATGGAGATCTAGGACTAGGGGTATGCTGGATTATATCAGTTAAGTTTGCTCTACTTCCTAGTTAAATGTTTATCATATTATCTATATAATATATTGCTTTAAAAATTACATGAAAAATTATAAATGCAAGTTAAGAACTGTGTATACTTAGCAAGTGGTGCTTATGTCAGTTGTGAATATTTAGTCATGGATACTTTTTGTATATTTCTTTAGACATTTTGAGTATCTATATATTTTACTCAACAACTACACTTTCTACACAAATTATATTATAATATGCCTTGCAGATCCGAGGCCAAATAGCAAATATGTAAATTAGGGATTTTTCTCTGTAAAACCTATTGTTACACATGCATATGAAGTTTATTGCAGACATAAGCTTTGCGATTTATTATTTATGGCTATAATTTGGTGTCTTTGTGATACCTGCCCCTCCCAACATGGCGGACAAGTCGGTCGGGGTCACGTGACCCTAGAGTGTTCATCTATACGACTCAAAAAAATGCACAAACTAATGCCACAAACCCGACAATTTTACGCTATTATGTGTTATAAATATGCTATTATGATTTTTCCTCCTTCAAAATCATCAGTTTTCGTACATTCGACATCAAAGCTTTCCGCGCCATTTCCATCATGGCGGCCCAATCAGAAGCTTTCTACATCCCACCACAAAGGAAGTACCCACCGATTCTTCTTCCTTCTCCATGCCGGTGGGCATCTGCGGCACCGCGCGGTTGATGGCGGTGTACTCGGGCAGATCCGGCAGGTCTTCCGTGTGGAACACCGGCATGGGCTTGCTGGCGTCCAACGCCCGAGCTCGGAACGATAACTTACTCATGGTGTGCCAGTAAAAAAAAAAAAAAAGAATACGAAATGAGCAGATTACGATCACAAAAACTCCGCACAAAATCCACTCGCAGCCGCACGGAAAGTGCTGAAGGTGCAAGATGATCACCCCCAGCACCGAATTATGGGGTCAGTTAGTCCCCGATCCTGCTGCTGGCCGGAGAATGACCACCTCAGTTCCCATCGAATTTCGCCATTTGGTTTCGGACAAACATGGCGGACACAAGCCCAGCCTTCCCAGAGTTCCCCGCCCTGACCAGGAGCGCTACTCCGCATGCGCACAACTCCCATTTACGAAAATTTGGCGGGAAACTGGAGATAAGAAAATCCAATCCTTTTAAGACATATCGTCTTCCACTGGTTTATAAAGGGGAGTAGCGGAAAATCAGTATCGGATGCTTCAGACTAAAGAGTGTAGTGTTTCTGATCAGCGTGGGTTTCTAACTATGCAAAGAGAAATTGCTCAGCAATTGAATGAAAAAAGGGAAAAATTGTGCACAAAAACCCAGAAAATAAACCTACTAACCAAAAACTGTGATGACATACTAGTGCATGTACTTCATGCTGCATGTACCAAGAAAAGTCTGGCAAAAATATTTCCTGTGCACCATTCTAGTTTATAACTTAAGACATAATCAGTTTACAGGGTGCCTTTGCCAGAAATTGTATAAAAAGTGTAACAAAAAGTTTCAATGGGACCAGAGCAGGCTGCATGAGTGTTATCAGTCAGTTTTAATAATTTCAGGTAATTCATGGCTAGACTGCTCAAATTTAGTATGGTGCGTAAAATCAGTACATAAATCATGTACAATTGGCACCTGAGTTTCATATGGCGCAAAGCTACATAAAGCTCCTGATGCTTGGGTATGACTAGCTTGCTCAATTAGTTAATACGTTGTGCTACAGTATTTACCAGTGCGCTCCCAACCAACCAACCTGCTCTCATGGTGCCCTCTGGTAATACATACAGAAACTGCACTAATGTTATGGCTATACTTTGTGGGCTTGTAAAACCAGTACTAGCCCTACTGTTGGAACATATGAAGCTGTCTTGTTCTGTTTTGACTGCATCATAAGTGGATGTAAGTAAAACCAGTAAATTCGTGTGTTAGAAAAAAAAACCCTTCATGAGTTCAAAGTAAAATTTTACATAAAAAATTTAAAACGCTGATAACTATTGGTAATTTGATGGGTGGATTGATATGGTATATTTAACTGATGGCTGGCACATTAAAAGAACGAATTGATTCAAAACTGTTGAAATTTTTTTTTGTACCTTGAGACCAGCCTTTGAAGCATTCTACAGTGTAATTGAGGGACCATGTATGTTTCAAATGTTAGGTATTGATCAACAGACATCACTGCAAACAAATCACTTTTAGCTCACAAATAAAAAAGAACATGACTGGTAGAGGTCTCGTCAGGTAGATCATATAATCATGTAATTATCCACTTTCATCTTAATTATCTATAAAACTAACGAGCATCAATACAAACTTGGAGACGCAGGATTCAGCAAAGAGCCAATTCATTGCTAATTGAGGGTGAGAAAAGTACAAAACTTACCAAAGTAAGTTTTAAAGTACACATTCTGATCATTTCATAGCTCCAATACAAACAGGTATGTCAGCCTTTCTTCTTATGGTTCGTTTACATATGTACACATGTAGGCCTCAGCCTTTATAGATAATGCATTGTATACATACACTTTCCTGGCAAATTCTCCCCTTAAACTGCAGAGATCTTCTATGACAAGTGAGCTATATAATACGGATACACAATTCGCGTCGAGATTAAATAAATAAAAGTGTTGATCTGAACCATGTTTGTTTATGTTTTGAGCTTTGTAAACATAAGTTCTATGAATATGACAGTGTGGGTCACAGAGAAAACTTTGCAGTTCAAGAAAAAAATTTACCCGTGAGCACCAGATAGAACTTACCTATTAACTTTTCCCCTACGTTTCAAGTACTTTGTGTAATTTTGAAGCCAATTGAAGCTTCATTTCATTAGGTATCAATTAATACTAAAAAACTTAATATTCTATACAAGATTTCAATTATTTCCCTCAATTTAAGTCAGGTTCCCGTGTAACTGTTTTAAAGACAGTTTATCTAGTCACACATTAATAATAGTAGTACAGGCTCTTAATGACCAAGAAGAATATATGTCGATGCCTGTTTCACAAAAGGTGAAAATTCAGCTTTCACAATCTACAGAGGTGAGGGAATAGATCGTTTGCCTTCCTATAATCCTTCTCAACAGCTCATTGCAGTAACATGAAGTTTGGGCTAAGCCTAGACAACATTTCATATTTACACAGAGTAAGGAGGGTCTTTTTGTTGTCCGCTACACCCTCACTGCACTACCTGTATGTACAATATCTTCATTTACAGAAGTAAGTCAGCCATTCCTATTGGCTACCCATAAAATCTTCTTGTACAATCTTGGTTTTTAATTTTACATGCCAAGAAAAAGACGGCATGGTGGGGAGGGGGGCAGTTGTTATATAGTATAAATATGTCACCTCTTCAATGAAGGCATTCTCTGAAAATACATTACACTTCTCTTGGCTTTGTACATGCATTGAACGTCAGGAATGGCAAATGCCTCTGCTTTCAGCCAGACCACTTCATTTGGAAAACATTCTAAGGCTAGTGAAGGGGGCTCAGGAAAACTTATCACTCTGTTCTCCTGCATAGAATGTACAGCAAAGCATTCTTGAAACCCACATAAGGGGCTCCACAAGCTTGTCAGGTTTAGAAAGCAGGTATTTCTCAAAATTTTCGCCCCAAATTTTGGACGAAGAAATCCATACACATACATATATATACACAGTTATTCTAAAATAGCCCCTACGAAAGGTTGAATTTATGGAAAAGACCACAAATAGCCAGATGATACATTCTCCTTCAACACAGAATGTTTCCATTGCAATATTTAAGCTCTCTACAGCTTGAAAATAAATACATTGTCTCCAAAAGCACATCCTGATTCTTTCCTCCAAGTCCAGCTGAAACAATGGTTCAGATTGCCTGCTACCTCAAGGTAGTGGTGAGAATCATTTTTCCCCAAAACAAAGAAGCATTTTTTTGGCCTGAGTTTTCCAAAATATCACAATAATCAAAGACTTTTATAATTTTCAGTACAGGATAGTAACAAATCTTATATTAGGACACTAACACACTTCATAGAAAAGATAAGAGTTTTTCCATTCTTAAACTTTCCATAGCTTTTACAAAAACTTTTCCCGGATGTTGTTCTGAGAACTGTTTGCACAAATTTCATACTTCAAATCACAACTTTGATTCAAATCATAAAACTCCATTCTACAAAGCTCCACAATACAAAACTCCCTTTGAAAAGTTTCTTTTGGAAAAAAATTTTGTTCTTGCCCGACTTAGAAGATTGTTGAACCTGGGAGTTTTGGTGCCTGTCCAGTTAGGATGTAATGATGAGGACATGGAGACAAGAGAGAATCAGGATGGAGGAGACTGACAGTTTGCACAGCGTCGAGCCACAGTGTCATCTGTGTGTCTTCCTCCTCTTCACTGCTTTAGGCCGGCCGGCTGTACGTGGCTTTGGGTCAGGGACCTGAAGGGGACGATAAAAAAAAACTTGTTTATTCTGCCTTCTCAAAACAAGCCGGCAACAGGCGAAAATCACTGCCTACTCAACTTTTTACACTGCCTACTTTTGTGTAAATTTAAGAAAAAATTACAAACCCCTTCATGGCTCGCCTGCTACTTTCTTATTTCAGCCACCTACTCTAGATTTTTGTGAGAAGGCTGTTATTTGCAATTTATTAATAATTAGTAAACTATCTTCTCTTTCACTAAAAGCAATTGTGTATCTTCCACACAACTTCTATACTGTTCTGTTTATCAATTTTGACTAGAAGTTTGAATCACATGTACAGTGCCAGGAATTCTAGCAATCATACCTGCGACTTCTCAATTTTGTGTCCACCAGCCACTTGACACCACTTTATTCTTGAGACAACAGTATTATTGACAACAGTATTCTTGAGAAAAGACTAGAAAAGAAGCCCACTCACGATGCCGTCCTTCCTCTCCAGTTCCAGCATGGCCTCCTCTATAGCTGCCTCCAGATTGCTGTTCATCTTACGGCCCCTACAGAAACAACGGTCAGCCAACAGTCAGCATTCAAATCTATTCATCTGTCTATTGGTTTGACTGACAAGCAAACAAGGCTGCCTAGCCACAAGCTAAGTGTTGAGTTAGCCACTTAGTTACTTTTCTGCCAACCTGTATATCTGTGAACCTATCAAGTATACAGTACCTTTCCAAACTTTCAACATAATTTGTCAACCTTCCTGCCGAGATCTCTGCGATTTTCTAGCTGATTTTCCCACAGTGCTTTGTGTGCATCATACTCACTTCCTGTGCCTTTTCCTGGCTTTGTGATGAGCCTCGAGCCCTTCTGTGAGAGTCTTGAGTTTGTCTGGTTCCACCTGTGTGTAGGTGTGGTCACCAAACCACTTCACCCACACCTGACAACACACAAACAACAAATAAATAAAATGTCAAAATCTTGCACTTGGAAATTGTAGGTGAAGCCTTACTTCAATGGTCTAAATTGCCACTTCTAGTAAAAGGTATAGGTACATACAAAGGGTATTTAATGGTTGTCAATTGAGCATTGCTATTTTCAAGGACCAAAAAGGGCCTGACCAATAGAAGGGCTGATAGAAGGATGATGTAGTCAGGCGAGTAACACCTTACCTTGCCCTCCTCTGACTTGACATGGTTCCCCTTCACGTCGTTCTCCTGTACTAACTTGCCAGGCCAGGAGGGGAACCCCCGGATCTGTCCCCACACCAAGTCTCCCGTGCTGAAGTTCCGTGGCCCACGGGGGGTTGGAGGCTCTGGGGAGGAATCCCTCGAATCAGCTTCCTCAAGGTCCCCATCTAGAGCCACACAAAAAATCAGTAAAATTATGTATTGATGATAAAAGCTATTAACTCTTTCTCATGGAAATTTAATGAGTCATTAGTGTCATCTATCAAAAAATACTTAAGCTGATACATGTATTAGGTAACTAGGAGATACTTTACAAACATTGTCAGTTTTTACTGATAAGAAAAACATTAGTACTGCAAATGTACATGTTCAGTCCACCATCTGAGATGATACATATGTAGTAATTGTTCAGTTCAGTAGTTCCAGTATGATTTAGAATTGTAATGACTGGCAGAATTTGAAGACATCTACTCACCGGCTGCAGCTAGTCTGAGGGCGATCCCTAAGGACTGTGTGTGATGCCTGGTACCAACTCTCCTCTCTGGCAGTGCCTTCTGGGAAAGGTCAGAGGGCATCTCCTCCCCATTCTCCTCCACCTCTTCTCGTGGCCTCTTTACTCCCCGTTTCCTCTCCTTTTCTGCTACACAGTTCTCTTTACCTGAATGACAGTCGTTTTCAACAGGAGTTGGAGCATCATTTGTAGGCGTGCAGTTCATGTCTGGCTCAGCAGGAGGTGCTTCTACAACAGGGTCTACCGTTTCCTCAACAACTTCTGGTGTAGAAACCTCCGGCAAGGCTTCCGTGTTGGGAACATCAGATGGTACACTTAAGCAATTTTCCATGGGTGGACTCTGAGAGACCTCTGCTAAGGGTGTATGTGAAGTTTCAACCGACGCGACTTGGGAACTTTCGACTGAAGAAATCTGCGCGATTTCCTGTGAGGTTGTTTGGGAGGTTTCCAGTGACGACGGTTGTGACACCTCCACTGATGAGAAATGAGACGTTTCGACTGATGTGAGTGAGGAGGGTTCTGATGACGGTGACACTCCGGCTGTCCCCACACTGGAGGAACTACAGGAGCTGACCCCAGGACTAGGAACAAGGTGGTTCACACCACTACATGTCACTAAAGTCTCCGGCACTTTCTCCAGACTGAGTTCATGAGACACGGCGTTGTCTCCGACAGTCTCTTCTTTTGTCTCCTTCTCGTTGGAGTAGTTGTTGTTCAGGTGAACGTGTGAGTTTTGCACCGTCGGACCGTCTGAGGAAACAGAGGAATTGTTTGCTGTTGTGTCTAAAGGCTCAGAAGTCTGAGGGACGTGGGGAGGAGGTTCGACGGCCTGCTGCGAGGGATCTGCTGTTTGCTGGTTCTTCTCGGCATTTTGTTCAGCTGCTGGTCTCGTCCTTGTTGGTACTGCAGTCGTGGCGTGCGTGCGTGCAGGTGACCTTGCAGGGCTTCTGTGTTGGTATGTTTGTGGGCTGGGTTTAGGGCTCTGTGCGACTCCTGCGTATATCGTGTGCTGTTCCCTTCCGAATGAGCCCAGCCCTGGCGAGGATACCTGTGCGACGGGAGAAACCTTTGCCGACCCTGGTGTTACAGAGCGGGCGGGGCTCTTCCTCGGCGTGCTGCCCCCGCGACTCGGAGAGGACTGACCTGACATCGAGTCACACCGACTACTTCGACCTGACCCTCCCAGTGACAGAGGGTCGTCCCCACGGACAACAGCGTTCACAGCGGCAGACAAGTTCACCGGGTCAGGAATGGAGGCCGTGAACGCACTCATTGCACTGAGTGCCCCCTGGGTGATTGGAAGGGGAAGTGCAGACGTTGTGGCAGTGGAGGAGCTTGCTGTTGAACTCACAATGGATCTCGATGGTTCTGTGATAATAACCTTAACACCTTGACTGGCAGCATCAACAACAGCTGTGTAGATTGCATCCACCATTGACTTCTGGGCTTCATTCACAACCGTTGTTGGTACTGCTTCTGTCTTTATTGTTGAATCCACATTTTCTGAGCTGGACTCCACAGTTGATGCCTGAGACCTAGCCTCAGACAGCTGCTCTTGACTATCACTCATCGGCCTGGCCACTTGTGATGTCGGCGTTTGTTGACTGACTGAGACCACAGGCGCTGAAGCAGCCTCTTCTACCGCCTGTTCCGCTTCTTTGCTGTCGTTTTGCACTTCGTTCTTCTGCTGCGGCTGAGCCAGGGCGGCGACGTTGACCCCCTGGAGCAGGGCTGCGGGGTTGATGCCGGAGTTCTGCAGGATCTGCTGCTGCTGCTGCTGCAGGAGGTTGAGGATGTTCTGGTGGTTGAGGTTCAGGACTCCTGCAGTCAGCAGCAGGTTGTTGGTGAGGGAGGGGTTCCCCAGGCCCTGTCCCAGGAGCTGCGGGTTCAGGCCCATCCCCAGGTTGAGATTCCCGGGCAGGCACATCCCGCCCAGCTGGGGAAGCTGCTGTGTGAGGTCGATACTGGGCAGGATCCCGGCCGGCACGATGGGGATGAAGTTCCCGCTCCCACCCTGCTGCACCTGCAGTGTCAGGCCTGCATCGCTAGATGGCACTGCTACCTTCCCTGCCTGAGATGACTCTGCGCTTTGCTGACTTGTTGGTACTGGGTTCACGTTGGCTGTCAGGCCGGATGTTACGACGTTCTGGTTCTGGACGTTGGCTTCGCTGAGTTGCGGCAGCAGCGATGCCAGCTGGTTCAGCGTCAACTGTCCCTGGGCAAGCGATGGCAACACCTGGGCAAGCCCGGCCGCCTGGTTGATGTTGCCGTTTACAGCAGTGTCAACAGTCTGCTGGCCTTGGTTTCCAAGTAATCCTGTGCTTAGCGCTAGTGGGAGGTTCAACGCCATGGCGGGGTTGACCAGACCAGGCTGCTGTACGAGCACCGACTGCAGCAGAGCTGGGTTCAGCAGCTGCGGGGTCTGGGAGATGCCCGCGATCTGTTGCTGCACAATGGGGAGGTCGACCCCGCTGGACAACACAGCAGTTGTAGGCAGGACCTGAGTGGCCACGGTGGTTGTCGTGATGGTGGTTGTGCTCTGAGAGACTGTTGACGCCGCACTCTGGAACTGTGGAACTGTAGTCACCTCACAGTTGGGCACTACCGTACTCGTAGCCACAACGCTCTTCACACTAACAGACGCACCTGTCCCCATGGCAACAGTCTGCCCTTGTTCCTGTCTTGTTGACGTGCTGGGAGCCATGGTAGGCATGGGAACATTACTTCTACTGGTCACAGGCTTTACAGTTCTGCTTACAGTCAAGTCTGCTTGTGACTTTCTCTCCGTTATTGTGCTAGAAACTATAGGCATCTGCTGTGGTCCTTGCTGCAGTTGGTTCTGTGCAGCAGGGACAGTGATGGTGTTGTTTGTGACCATGGCCGGAGATACAGAGTTGTTCCCGTGCACGTTACTTGTCGGGGCACCTTGTGAGAGTTGCGCCGGCGTTCCGTGCCTTTGCATACTCGCACCTTGAGGGAAACTCATGCGAGGATGACTCATACCTGAGGGATTGCTGTTTGCAGGGGCGCCACCTGCCTGCGGATAGTTTTGCTGCAGCGCCAGCCTGAACCTCTCCTGAGCAATATTGAAATTGTCCTGTGGTGGGTTTGGGAGACTGCCCTGACCCTGGGGAGGGTTCCCCTGGCCCTGGGGAGGGTTCCCCTGCCCGATGGAAGGGTTTCCCTGCCCTGGAGTCACGTTTGCTATCCTCCCCATCAGTTCACTTAGAGCGGGCGCTCTCTGACAGGTGATTGGTCCTAACTCGTTGTCGTCTGGGCCTGACTTCCTCCGACTGGACCCACTGGCAGTTCTTCTCCGTGACCGCGGAGGGTTGGGAGGGTTGAAGTTTCCTCCACTCTGCCCTTTACTCCCGGCCTGCGTGTAGCTCCCTTGTTGGAGAAGCTGGCCAAATGATGGTGAAGCCGTGGTTGTTGTTGTCCCGTAAGACTGTTGTTTTCCTAAGCCACTCGACATCTGCGCTTTGGCAGCAGCTGACAACAGAGAGGACGCTGGGAAGGACGAAGCGTTCTCACGACTCAGGATCTGCTGCAGTGTGACCCCCAGCAGTCCTGGGTTGTTAGGGTTCTTCTGCTGCCCCTGGTTACCAGAACCAGCGGAGAAAAGGGGGTTTATTTGGGGGAAGACATCGTTGCCGACGAGCAGTGGGTTTGGAACGTTCCTCTGATGCTGGACTAGTCCGTGTGGTTTGTCCTCCTGGGGGGAGGGGGTTTGCCCCTGCTGGTGTTGCCGAGGAGGGGGGTTTTCAGTTACGGTAGCTGAAGTGGACCCCCTGCGCTGTGCAGGGGGGCTCCATTGGTTACTCAAGCTCTCCGATCTTTGCTTCATGCAGGAAGGCACCTGGCGGTTTCCCGACACCCCCTCAGGGTTGGGGGCAATACTGACAGGGGGAGTGACGGTCGCCCCCCTTTGGGCTGTTCCTGACGGCCGAGTAGTCCTAGTGGGGAGGGGGAGGTTACTGGGAAGGGGGACTATCACAGGGGGCTCTCCCATGCCCATATTTGGCATCATGCCCTGCAGCGTGGGGGACACAAACCCAGTGTTCCCCGCGCCCATCCCAGCGTCGAATGGCGAACCAGGATTGGACCGAATGTCTGTCGGGCTCATCATGGGGCTCGGCACCCCCGACGCCGGGCTGCGGTGAGCCTTGTTGCTAAGGGCGGGGCTGGGCGTGCCCCGGCTACTGGAACTCGTCCTTCTCCGCATGGGGACGGGACTGTACGCGTTGTTGTACACGGGAGCCGGCTGTTGTTGCTGTGGCATCATGTTATACCCGCCCATGTTCCCAGCGTGGGGGAACTCGTTTCCCATTATGCCGTCGTAGGAATGCTGAAGGACGTGGCCATCGCCGTGGCGATGGGGAGGCATGGCTCCGTGGGGGGCCATCTGGTGCTGAGGTGCCAGGGGCAGGTGACGCAGCCTCTGCTGCATCATGGGAGGGCCGCCTTGGTGCAGGAACTGCTGTTGTTCCTGGAGGAAGGATACACAAATTGTAAATCATCTTTTTAATACACATACTCGAGTTCCATAAATCTAAGCTTATAGAAACACTACCAGGAAACAAAAATATTTTTGCTACTGGAAAGAAAATACATTTGCTTGCTTGACAAAATGCATTATTTAAAACACTATCAATTCATCGGTAATTCTAATGAGGGCTCACAGTCAATGTAGTAATATCTTGCATGCATTGTTGAAACATTTTTGCAGATAGAATGAAACTTCCTTCTCTTTAGATATTATCACACTGAATATGACTGTTTATGATTGCCAAACCTGTACAAAAAGTATAGAAGAATCACCCCTCTGACCTGCATGTGCATTTGCTGTGGAGGGTAGTGTTGTAGGGGTGGGGGCTGCTGCTGCTGCAGGGGCATGCGAGGCTGCTCAGGGTAGTGCCTCAGCCCCTGGGGCATCCCCCCTGGATGTCCCCCGACCCCCATCCCCGGCCCGGGCCCCCCCTCCTGTGTGGAGAGGACCTGCCTCATGTAGACGTTGGTGTAGCGAGGGTGGGTGTCCTCTGGCGGGTGGGGTTTGGACTTCTGTGGCCGATGGGTCCTACTTATGGGTACTGTCAGGAAAAATACACAAATTACAACCCGTTAGCATGGTTAGACATCCTGGTGGTAAGATACCAAGACAGCAGTTACTCGAACAACTAGATAGATTTGAAAAATGTTGGAAAAGGTAGTGGAAGTGGATGCTACCTGAAAAGTTGGACTGTTTTCAAAATCTATCCAGTTGCTTGAGTGTTATCTTGGCATAAGTTGTTAAGTACTGGCAATTGCAAAAACACTGGTATTACCAGGTGCAAACTTAAAGAATTAACACCATATCACCTACATGATTTAAGCCCACTGAGGAAATGTTACACTTAGCCAAAGTTTGTTAAGGCTTAAGACCTGAGCTCCATATAACTCCTTGGTTAATTTAAGACAGTAGTGTAAATATAAAAGAAATAATGGCAATGGTTTCTGAACAGTTTTAGTGTGATCCATACTTACAATAGCTAAATTCTGACTGGTGCAGGTAAAATATGTTTGGTGCAGGTAATTTTTAATGTGCATCTGCTGAAAAATCTGCATTTACAGAAAAATTGTATTTCAAGCTGCAAACTATGCACTTATTATTGTGGCCAAATTTTTAGGAGATACCAGGCTTGTGCCTTTTCTTCCACCACTCAGAACCAGAGGAAAGGTTTGTAAAACAAGAGTCTGAGAACCAAGGAGTTACGTTGAGCCAGCCCATGCCGAGCGACAGTGTTTGCCCACACACCCTTCTCCACCGTTCTTATGGGAGCCATAGTGAAGCTAGGTTTGGACTGGGTGGTGACTGGCGGCTCCATCAGTGTGGCCATGGCCAGGATCTTACGCTTGTGATTGCACAGTTTGGTCAAGTCGTCTTCTGCCTGGCACGATTTCACTTCCTCCGCACTGCGGTGTCGCACCAGCACCCCGGGATCGAAGTTGAACACCTGCAATACACACATCAGTCAGCTGATTTGATCAGTAAGTTCATGTTGGTTATCTAATAATCATTCATTGGCAAAAATCATATCATACCCAAAGGCTGGTTGCAAGCTAACAGTAATAGAGTACAAGCAACTACTGTAAGTGCAGTGACAGGATTATACATTGGTGTTACTCAATTCAAGATTTTGCTTTAAAAAGGACAATTTTTTCAACCTGTCTAAGAACAGTTCTACAACTCTTCTTTTCTTCTGTCATGATTTTCTTCAAACATATTCTGGAAACTGCTAACATGTCTATGTCATACATGTATTTCCCAACTGGATGTCTGAAACCTGGAGTATCTATTTCCTGATAGGTTTTTTGAACAGGAAAACCCTTCTGTCTGGTTTCCTGATTGGATGTTCGAACACGTATCTATTGGAACCCTGCTCTATCCTGTTTCCTGGTTGGCTGTTTCAGAAGAGGAACCCTGCTGTCCCGAGTCCGATTGGTTAGCTTGAATATGGTAAATCAGATCCTGATTGGTTGTTTAATTATAGTAATCCTGCTATCCTGCTTTTTGATTGGTTGTCTGCTTATGGTAACTTTGTTATCCCATTTCTTTATTGGCTGCTTGTTTGTTGTCCTGTTATCTGATTGGCTGTTTTCCTGATTGAATTATTCTTCTGTTCTCACCTTGTTGACCTGTAGAGGACAGCCCAGCCCACACTTGCAGGTTCCATCCTTCTGCAAGTATTGGTTCACCTGATCTACTGACACCAGACAGGAGCCGTCAGGGCTGGAACAACACAAAACTCTTCAGTAACATGTGCTAAAAAAGGTATAGGTAAATGTAGTCCCATTGCCTTTTTCAGGGACAATAGAATTTGATATACATCACATACAGTTCCCTTGTCAAAGAAATTTCTTTTTATTTTAACCTGATAGCCTTACCTGATATAAATAACTCTCCCATTGTCCACGACCCTCCTCCATCCAAAGGGCACCACCACAAAACTGGGCTTATCCACAGCGCCCCCTAGTGTTGGAGAGAAGCCGATGCAGCTGCTCTCCTTGTTCACGTTCATGTCTCCTCCGTGAGAGCAACAACATGAAAGGCACCGACACGGTTCAGCAGCCACGCGACTGTAGCTGACAGCTCGCCGAGATGACTTCTCTCAGTCCGGTACACTCCATTTATATCAGGGTGAATCAGCTGAACACTCGCAGAAATGTTTCCTAGAAGATGTTCTCTTTACTTGCCAAGAATCACTGCATGTTTACCACTGGCTATATGGTGTGAAACACGGGTTTCTTGACACATACATTTGACATGAAGTCTCGTTCCCTGTGCAAACCAGTTTTCCAGTGCAAACTACATTTTGCGAGCATCAGCATTACTGACGTCTTCCATACTTTCAAAGCCGTCCTGAGTTTGATGCTGTACAGACTGCTGGAGACTTAAGTTCAGATGGACACTCAGATCTATCTGAAAATAGAAAAAAAAACTTTAAGAACAGTACAATAGCTACGTATACCATACAGTTAGAAAATTAAATGCTCAAATGATATATTTATGTTTGTTCTCACAGATTATTTATGAATAATTTATAAATGAACAGCACCCTATAGCTAAAATGATGATGATGATGACCCTTTTGAACAGCTAAACTATGAGTAACAGATGTGCTAATTAGCCTTCAACACCCTTGACTTCATCTGAAACTGTGAAAGACAACTTTTACCCGCACCACCACTCGTTTTCTTTGCCTTTCAGTTCCTAAAACAATTATGTTCCTAAAAATGTTTCTCATACATAGTACCATTTTGAATTATCTTGTATTCTGATGTATTCAAGGATGCTACCTAGTGTTTTTTTATTGTGGAGCAGTACATGTAGACATGAGAAATACCTGCACAGCTCCAGTTTTACCTGCATATGCAGGTGGTATATTTCAAGTCCTATCTGTGCAATGATCATCATGTGGTGACCGCTGCCTGTACCATAGCCTTGGCTCAATTGTGTTTTCATCTCTCCATCTACTGTTCTATATATAGGTGTGTCCTGAGGCAATATGGGCTTATTAAATATTCATAGAACCACCGCAGGTGAGAGCTGATGAACATCGCAGTCCCACACACCCTGGGCGATCAGCTGATCATGATTAATAACGCCATCACAGTTGGGTTTACTACTGGAAATTGTCCAACTTTTGAGGCGGTTTTATTTTCGCCGTTTCTACAGGAACCTCTCTTATGAATTTACGATACAGCAAATGTCTACCTTGTATGCCTGTACTACAGAAATGTTATATAAAAAAATTAGAAACAAAAATTTTAATTCTCTTTCCGGGCCTCTGGTCCACAAAATATATGCAATGCAGAAGTAAATGTATTAACAGTTTCTTTCTACATTGCCAGGCCATACCATTTTGATTTCTTGGTTCTCAGATTCATATCTTGAATACTTACAAAAAAATTGAACAGCAAAAATTAAAAGACCACATCCTGCACCATATACTTATGAATATATATATGTATCTTCCCTCTAAGAATCTAATAATGCTCATATTCATTTTGGTTCCATAAATTGCTACATCCAATATATGTATGCCATTGCCAATTCAATTTTTTCTCATTTCCAATAAAAGTTACTTGTTAAAATTCAGGGTATGAAATGTATGGATGCTGATTGCTGTTTCTTTTCTATTTTTAGTTAATTTTACTTCGTCTTGTCTGCTATTTTTTCCTGCAAAAATTTGAGTACCAACATAATCAACATTAACAAAACATTAGAAATGTTACAGTAGGTTTTGATCATGGTGCATATCCTAACTTTTTACAATACACTAATTATTACCTCTTGACTATAAAATGGGCAGTCCAGACTTTACATACCTATTTAAAGATTTAGCAAAGTCAGCTTAGGTCTTTAGAATTTAAATGTACAAAAAGAGCCGTACTATTAACTAAGATGCTATTTGAAGGATGGAGCCACTTTGTCTAGTCAGTCAGACTTAATGATGCAACATCAAGTTTACTGTCCAGTCACAGACGAGTAGGTATAAACAGGACTTTTATAGATTCATTTGTGCCCACTGGGGATATATGAGGTATGGGGAGTGGTATCAATAGTAACACTGTCTTACTAGGGCAATTGGTTCTACAAAGGTCACACACACTAACAGTAAATCTTTCTTTTGGAATTGATTAGAAAACTTTACCTTGGTCCTTTCACTTCAGGACAAGCTGTGATAGGGCAAAAAAGCATCTCGACACAGCACATACACTACACCTGCACAAAGCCTGGATTTTTATGGTTTTTGTTGGATGTTTGGTCAATGTTGCATTAAGATTTTGCCCATTGAAATATTACAGGGTTCTTATCACAATTTTTTCAGTGTGTAGGGGTAAGGAACAGAAGGACAACATTCTCAGTGCAAGCTGTGAATTGAGTCCCAAAGACATGACTGCAGTGGGGGGGCTGTCTGCAGCTGGTACAGTATCCTCTGCAAAAATTTTATAACTCATAAAACTCTGAAACACTTGAACCTTGAATCGATGTTCTGAAACACTATATTCTGCTTATTGAGGGACGAAATCCTTGGTTATAGTTTCATTCCAAAGTCAAATTTTAATTGATTTTATAAAGGATCTCCCCAAAAGAAACACTGTCTAATATTAGTAATAATAAATACCCTATGCAGGTTGAAAGACAACTGTAGCTAAATCATAGCACAGATGGTCCAAATCACAGCGAACACTGACCTGGACTATTCTCCAACATGAATTTCAAGCCCTGGCTTGCAATATCACAGTTTTGAGCCCTAAAATAGGTGGTAGGCTCTTCAACATTTGACAACAACATGATCAAAGTATGTCTCTCCTTCAACACTGCTACCAGACGAAACACTTGCAACGTCCAGATCCCCTCTGGAAAAATTCAACTCTTATCAGTGGTGTGCATTAATTTTGAAACATAATGGTTAGGTTGGGATTAAAACCTCTAACCTTGCGGTCCAGTAACACAAAAAGCTATGTTTGAACTGTGACTGTGAGGTTGAAAAACTGATAAACATAGTAGAGATAGGGTACATCTATCATCAAATGCACCATGACTACATCAATACAACTTGTAATACTTTTTTCTGTCTCCTGTAAGGCCACGTGAAGTTAATCAATTGGTTTGCCTGCTTCATTTTTTTCTGATTTGAAAAAAAAAAAGGATTCAGTCCAGATTTTCTGTTCTTTCAGCAATATGTCTGCTGCTGTAGCTATTCATTCAGGTTTACATTGACAAGTGGTAATTTCAAATGTTATCATGTTAAAATGGTATCTATTTGATGGAGAAAATCGTTCTGCAGTTTGCAGCTAAAATTTTATTTTGATGACTTGAGCATCTGGCCTTGGTCTATTTTTATCATAATTGTAGCTACTGGGGCAACACTAACATTGTAGTCTCATGTACAAAATTAGAATTGTTCCATACATGTGTTGATTTTAACATTTGGTCATTGCAGTCTGCATTCTTAACGACAAATTTGTTCCAAAACTCCCCAAAATATACCCTCAGCCCCCCTCCCCCTTCACAGAGCAGCTAGGTTTAGGATCCTGACAGACCTCTACTCCACTCTACCTTATTTCTAGCTCCGCTACACGTACATTTTACCCCACCGCGTTCTTACAGACACTTTAGGGAGATATCAGATACATGTAGGATATGTGTAGCGGATAGACAGTGGCTGACAAGCTGTGTATTTGGGGTAAAATGTCGAAGTTTTGGTGTAGTAACTGCGGGTACTCCTACCTGGCCCGACCGTCTGTGATCTGCAGACACCTCCGCCCTCCCCGCGTTACCTCGGCTCCTCACGGTCCCTTCCACGCCTCTGGCAGCGCTCAGGCGAACCTAAAAGGTCCTGGTTTTGTTCTAAGACCTTTCTGAGGAGCAACACCCATGCAGTTGGGCCGTAGATACCCCCAAAATAAGGGGCAAAATCGCGATAAATTTCAGAAATATTCGGTTCTAACCTCAATCCCAGCCTGCACCGCGCCGCCGGGACCAGCTCTTCCCCGAAGGCCTTTGCGTGGAGATCCCCAGCCAAGACCCCACAGCTACCACTAAACTTTGTATGATTAGTACTTTTAGATACATACTAGGCCATACTAGTATTTGGAAACCTAGATACGTATTTCCGGAAAACATTCTAAATGGTGATTGAATGTGTCTGAAAATCATTTTCCTGCCATTTTACAGAAAAATTGTCATATTCTTATCACACAAGACAGCGTATACTAGCATATTATCCCGACTACTACTGTCATCAGGCAAATTTAAGGTTTCCAAATAGTCCCGAAAACGAATCTCCAACGGTGACCAAGAGAATGTTACTATCTACAAGGACATTATCTAGGATATTCCAATGAAAACGGTGGGGTGTACACATTTATTTTATAGTGGAGCTTCGGAGAATATCAAACTGACAAATAAATCGATGACAAATAAACAATGAACAGGACCTTTATAATAATACCAAGGTCGCAGGTGTGTTGAGATTAAGTTAAACTCAAAATACAGAAGGGTCGAGTGAACAGTCGCTAAAAAAAAGATTAAAAAAAACAGTTAATTGGAGAAAATAAAATAGAATCTATCTCCATCGGTTTACTGTTGTTTTCTGTCTTTTCTTTTACAATCTTCCGTTCAATAACGTTTCCGAGTGATGTACTTTAGGATACTTAAGGTCCTACGTAGAAACAACCAATAATTCTTCACGAAAAATTAACCCATGCACAATGTTGAATGCTGAATTAGATCGGATTAAAGGTGATTAAAAATGACTCACAGTAAAAGGCATGCAGGTACTGACGCATAATAACGTATCTTTTTTTTATTAAAGAAATAACCTAATACAAATAAAACTATACATATTGCCCCAATGTGGAGAAAAAACACTCAATACTAATATTTTCAACATCATATTTAATTCCAAAGGACTATATGTTACTTCCTTAATTCAGAACTTCAACTTGAATAAATGAGAGATTGTAACACAGTGTAGTATTTGTAGGTATTCGTGGCGTCCCTCCTCTCAATCTCATGCTTGTGGGAATTCAGTGACGTTGGTTCGATTGCGAACTGATTATAAGTTGTAGACGCCCTATCGTCCGGTTTTAGGCTGTACGTCACCGTTTCATAGCCCTTGCTTTGTCGTTGTTTGTCGATGATCCGATCTAGATTACAGCGTCACATAGCGGTTTCCGATTAAACTGCGTTGATTTAAATTTAGACTAGTTGATCCGGATTCTGGCAAAGCAAATGGCTCGCTTTAGCTATCTATTTAAAACCCGTATCCAGATTCACAAAGAGACCCTGGTATCAAGAATGTATTCTTTTAACATTTACAGATGTATACGTAGTTACCGCTACCCGTCATTTCCATCAGTCACCATGTGGCTTCGTCGGATCCAGAGCTTGCCCCGCGTGAGAACTGTCGACAAGAATGACAGCCATTTTAAAAACAACAACAGTAGACTAGTATCATGGAACATTCAAGGCAAGCATCCCAATAAATACAAACTAACAAAACACTTGAGACATATCAGAGATATATCATTCATTGCATGCTGCAAGTGAAATCGGATACATGAAGATGATTTTTTTGCACAGCGTTTGTTATATAAGATACAATGTTTGGCAACTTCTACTTACACTGAGCAAGAGTAAGAGATGGATAGATAGATGGATAGATAGATATACTAGTATCTGCTTTCCTTTTCCTGTTTCATTACTGTTAACGTTCGAGTTTCTAGCTGATGGGCTGATAGAAGTTACTCACTGCACATCAAAGACAAAAGAGAACAAACCTTGTATCTAACTGAAAAAAAAAGTCACTAACCGGGTTTCTCTTGCTCTTCTTCTTCTTGAACTCCTTTTTGTGGTCCTTGGTCATGAATCTATGAATCCGGCCGGTGACGGTCTCACAGAAGGCGTTGGTTTGGTCCGGGTAGAACACTAGGCCAGAGACGTAGGCTAGAACATGGATCAGAACAGAGGGCATGGTGGCCTTGTGGTTATAGGGTTGTTGACTCACTAATCTTATTATCATTCTGGGTTTGCACTTTGAAACCGTACAGGTCTCAATGTTTTGCCGGTATTTGAAAAACACTTAGAACTACACTGTGTCACAGTACATTGACGCGTGCGGCCGGGCTTCTTTCGAGCATCGACGTTTGTGACCCGGTCCGAATATTCATGTAGATCTAACTTACAAAAAAATAACCTTGAAGTGTACTTCATGCCCTGTTCGAAATATACTAAGTATGGCGACGATTCAGTTTAGAATAATGATAAATACTTACCAGTAGAAGCAACCACCATGATTGTTATAGCCAGCCACATTCTCTACCTTCCTTGGTAGGATTTAGAACCCCAGGCGTGGGCATGAGTTTTATACCTTCTCATTTCCTGTAGAAAACTGGAAAGTAGATGAGAGAGACATGAGAATGTTTATGATGTTTATTTTGTTTGCGACTTTGGTATTGTTCCTAACGGCACACTAACCTTGACATAATACTGGTCATCATTTATTCACGATGAGGATTAAAATGAGTAAGATGTCAGACAGATACTATTGACTAGTGGATGATCTTTTTCGATGAAATGTTTTGCATAAACGTATACGTGGTGCTTGAAGCTCGCCAACTACTGTCGTCATCAGGGTGACGTGGACAAATTGAACCAAATGTTTACAATATACATGTCATGAAGGATGTCTCGCAATTTAGATATCGCCAAATTAATATTCCACAGGTGTCGTCTTGGAATTTCAAACACGGGGGTAGTTTCAATTTTGCCATCTTTCTGCCAAATTAAAATATGAACATAATTCCCTACGTCAGATGATAGAAATGCCATGTATAACCATAAATATAAACCAATAAAATGCTACAACGTACCAAAGAAATTAACAGTATGGCTAATCATAAACGTGTAGTCATAAATGTTAACGAGACTATGCTTGCTGTTTGGAGGCTTGTATAAACATAATATCTCAAGAGGAAAAAGAAAGAAGAAGAAGGATGAAGAACAAAGATGGCCTCTATAGATCTGCTGTTTGATATATAAACCGTCCTCAAGAGGGAAAGGATGTTACATAAAAAACACCGTGTGCTGTCTTTACTATGAATGACACCGACACATCATCAACAGACCGTTGTCATTTGGTAATTTTCACCAACGATCATGTAAATTCTGTGGTAAAAGAAACGATTTTCAAAATTGTGGACAAGGATGACAAAGCAATAACGCCAAAGATCGAAGTCGATGTCTATAAACATACCAAGGATGTAAACATCATAAAAAAACAACTTACAAGGTTTCCTGAGATACATCTTTCAAGCTAAAAACCCTCTGGGATTCTTACATAATCTCGTAGCTTTCTTCCATCCAGAAAAAGTCGTTGGGAACCGAAAACAAAGCGCACTATCTGGCCACCGTATGATGAGATATAGATAAAGAGTTAGATACCAAAAATACAGTAATTAGGCCTGTGAATGACGTCGACGTTTGACTTGTACAATTGTGACAAGAGATATATTACGTACACGGCGTGTGGCCCAACCTAAGGTATAATTATGATATGAATAATAGATCAGAAAAATATGGCTAACGTGGTGACAAACAATGAACGTCCTTCGGCAAAAATACATTTTGTTTGTACAGCTACATAGACGGGTTTTTGACTTGGTAGTCTGCCATATGGCAGATAATTTCATCTGTAGGGAAACGCTGTATCCCGCCGAATATCTCTGACGAAATAAAGAACATCTATTTTTTGCATATTTTGTGTTTGACAGTGTATATCAGGTAGCTCTGATATAGTAACTTGTGCTTTCTTATGACAGGTACAATTGTGACTGGCATTACCAATACATTAGCCTGTCTTTTATGTTGCCGACGCTTTTTTTTAGTACCTTTTGTATAATTCTTTAGTCTAAGCGTGTTATAATAGACATATCACACGCACTACCCGACTGCAGTATGTAACTGTAACATTGTATGGATATATCATATACCTCTGAACTTACGTAGCAACACACCTGTTCAGTTGGAAAAAATAATGTCACGTGTCCTGGTGAGGACACTGAAATATCCAAACAGATGTTGGGATGAAACTTTTTTGTGGCTTCTCTGACAGTCAATTAACGTTACAAGCTTACACCTTGCGTTGGTCCATAAAATGAAAAGATTAAAGTTAAAAGAAGCAAGAGGGACGAAAAGAATACGACTTTGCGTGGTGGCTCGATATTTATCTGCAGTTTTGTCTGAGGCTGGTAGATGTCGCTTGAGAGACAGTAGAAATGATGCCGAGATTGGAAATAAGTTCAAGTTCAAGTTCAATCAAACGATAGTTTCAACAGTCTGTAAAATTGGAAGAAAGAATTGAGGTGACAATGTCAACTTTCTCATTGTTGTCGTTTTGTTTGTGGCCAGTTTCAACCCATGTTTATTATGTAATAGAGTAAGTTACAAGTTGCCAAATCATGACCATGAAATGAATAGCTGAGTTGAGGTTGAGTTGGATACTGTTGATTCGCTTACCAATAGCCAAAGAAAAGTACAACTATTTCCAAAGCTGACATACTCCAGAAATGCCGGATAAGTTGAGATGACCAAAATATTTTGCAATGTGCCGCTCAGTGGGACGCCCTCATATCGACCAATCAGGGGGCAGATTAGAGAGATAATGTTACACGGACCAATCAACGGGCCGCTCTCTCCTCCCACGGGTGATAAGGGGGTTAGAACGCGGTGTTGGTATCGGGCACAGAAGACGGCCGCGTCTGTGGTGAGTTTTTACCGATTTAACCTTACTTTCTAACGACATGCCTGCATTTGTGTCCTCATAAGGTGTCTAAAGACCACCCTTTGCCATTTGTATCGATTTTGTTGCTGGAAATGTTGAGAAAACGGGAGAGTAGTGGGAGGTGTCGGGTGTGTGTTGCTCGTGAGTCGGCCTCCCGTCGCGACGACTCGCCGTCCCGTCGCTGGATCATGTAACGTTGTTGTGACACGCGGAGGCCTGCTCTGGACGGTTATTTTCAGGCCGTTTTACCACTTGTAGGACACTACCGGCTAGTAAAATGTTTACAGGCTTGCGAGTAGTGTTGATAGCAATGTGATATTGAAAGTTTGGCAACTTTGGCGTCTGCAAACCGTCCGAAGTTGTGCGCTGGTCGTAGTGTCTTTTCAACTTTTGACAGCAGACGCTTTTGGACTCATTTATCAAGATTCAACCGCAAATTATTTATGTACAGTACTTCTAAAACCGTTGTGTGCTCCAAAGGTGTGTCTTTTACCCCAAAAATGTACCAGTGCTTTTCGAATTGAGACAGATTTGTTTATATTTTCGAATTTGGTAATGGTATGGAAACTGAAAGGGGATCATACCGTAAACTACATGTAGTCCGCCCACTGTCCCATTTCCAGAATATTTCCCCTCAGAAGTACCGCTATTGTGCCACATGTTTTGTCACCTTTTGTCCGCCTTTGTCACAATTTCCTCTTATAAATAAGCTGATTTCCCCTCTTTAGATTCCTCGAAAAGGAAAGAATTTGTAACGGAAACCGTTCAGATTTTTTTTACGAGCAGAATCATCAAAGGTAGATTATAAAATCAACTCTTGGTTTCCAAACCCGCAGCGTATCAGAAAAATACGTTTCTGGGGGTCAGATTTTTCTGTTCTTCGGCTGGTTACCAGTTTATTGCCAAGTTTACACTTAGTGGTTGGAAACAAATCTATGCGTTTGTCACGTCTTGTTTAAAGTGGATCAGCAAATTTGTAAGTTTGGTGTTGAAACAGTTAGATGTTGACATTGGCCAAGTTTGCAGGGTAAATAAGAGGGTGAACATGGGGTTTACAGATTCTGCAGCTTTGAGCAAATTTTTAGTCTTTTTAGTCAAATTTCAAGATTTTAGTCTATGGAAATGCACTATCGCAGTCAGGTGAATATACAATCAACATTTTATTGACTTCACATGTAACAGTCAATATTACTAATATAAGATGTATATAAATATATATAACATTTCACTATTTGAAAAACATAAGACATGCAATTGAAAATTTTTACCCTCACACATTCACATCCAATTTTTGCTTGCTCATCCATAAAGCGTATGATGTTTTTCACATGTTTGTACGTGATAAACGATTGTAGTGTTTTTCAGATTTTGTTATAACTTATTGTACTGGCTTTCTTGAATGCAGATTGATCATAGTTTATAACTCCAGCATTGTACTATTTGTGATGCATACATGTATATAAAACTGAACAATCATTTGAGCTTTAAATCCAGGTCTGTAACTGTGAAAAAGTCAATACTTCAATCCCACCCTCCCATGACAGCTGCTTGTATACAGGCTGCCTACACCACTGTGTGGTCCCCGACTGCCAGACTGTCCTCAAATTCTACACCAGAGAAAAAAGGGTCACCGGTGTCATGTCGGTTGTACAGTGGCTTTGTTCTCCATTGAGTGGGTATTCAGGGGGGCTACTTAGGGCCGAGATAGGGGGCTGCATAATGTGTATTCAAAGTTGACGCTAAAAAATGGACAGTTTTTTGTGTAAAGCAACAGGCTATGAGGTCATGTTACATGGTTATTATATGCTGATTATATTCCGAGTTTTATTCCTAATTTATAGTTAGCATGTGTTGTGATTTGCTGGTTAAACACATGTTAAAAGTTGTATGAATATTCCTATGCTTTGAACTAGTTGTTTCTAACATGTTTGGAGTGTAACCCTATATACAATAGTGTTTTGCAGAACAATGGCTTTCTGCTTCTCCATACCATTGTACCTTGAAAAGGTCCTATTGACCACTTGTTGTACAGACCTATACAGAAGCAGCCTAGCTGAACTGGTAAGATACTAGAGGTACTTGAGGGCCTCCCTACCATGAACATTGTGTTGGTGTGCCTGTTGGGTAAAAAAAAGATATGGTAAAACTTGATAATGGTACACAACGAACATGTTATCTAGAATAAACTGACATATATTAAGTACCCGGTACATTACAGATGTAACGTTACATGTATAATTCCCTGCTTGATATTCTTTCTTAAATGTATTACATACATACTGAATATATATTTTGTCAGACAAGTTTGAACTGTTGATTCAAGTTGACCAGGGAGTTGGGCCGAGTTGCTGAGCTGAGTTGGTAGTGGTCAGACGAAGTTGTGTGACATTCCCACGAAAATAACCTCCCTAAAACTTAATGAATTTACTGTACTATTGACTTGATGTATTTTCTTAAAAACATGGGAATACTATTGAAGTTGGCATGCGTCTTTCTCACCCATCGTTGTCTGAAAACATTCCTTTTCCATATTTCATGTGTATTTCAACAAGTCAGCAGTGCTGGGCAGCACATGACATGTACTTGACAAGAACCAGGTGCATATCAACCACTTCCTGCTCTAAATATGTCCAGACTGGCACTGACATTAAACACAACTCCACACTGTATATCATTTTTATTTAGTGGGAATTAATTTCAGGTTAGGAGAGAGGAAAGGAAGTTTTTTGCTGTGTTTCATGAAGTTTTTGTGGTTGAAATAATACAGTAGCATATTGTTGAGGCATATAGAACATGTTCACAGTGTGTTATACTATCATAGTAAATATGAAACGGCTGAAAATTTGATGATTTACAGTAACTCAGCTGGCTGGCATGATATATTGTAGGGAAAACTTTTTTTTTCTTTTAAATTTAAGACTTCGGTTGGCAAAGAAACAAGACTTTTTTTATTATACATGTGTAGATAGATGTTGATTTATTTTTTATGTACATGTGTATGATTAGGCGAAATTCAACTTATTTATCCTGTATAGTGCAAGTATCATATCAAAGACTACTGGAAAAATATCATTTCCTGCACAGTTTGTAATAGTGGACAGGGAGAGAGACAAAATGGTTTTGTTTCCATTGTTTGTAACGTTAAATGTTAGACAGCAAAATTCTGTTGTTCATTTCTTTCCCCCAAGCTAGATCATACTCTAGATTGTTGACATAGTAGACATTCTGAATTCACATCTATAGAACATATGGGGCTTTCCTAATTGATGACAAACATGTTAATATCGTTATGAGATTTTGAGTCACAACTTTATGCATCGCTATATCAGATTATAGCAATAAGTCAAAAGGATTATGATACAGGGGACTGTTATAATTTTCTAGCAACAGCTGGGCTGTTTGATTTCTCACAGGCAGGGACTGTTTGTAAATACTTCAACTCTCGACTGAGATAAGGTAGGTCAAATCTGTCCTGTTGATATTACACTGCTTGCTACCCCCCTCCCACTGTAAAACAAAAAGAAATTTTACCGAGGGAAAACCACAGTTCTGGCAAATATTTCCCTGTAATTTGTTTTTTGATGAGCATAAACCTACAATTGGATTTCGCAGCAATTTGTTTTGATTGGTTAGGACATAACGAGGTTGCCTCTTGAAGGGAAGGATTTTCCCATCAAAGAAATCCATTTTGAGGTAATCCACTTTGGTTTTATTCGATTTCATGCTTTTGCATGAATGCAGCAAGTTGAAGAGAGCACCAGCAACAAAATTTGGGAAGAATGTGGGGTAGTGTTTTAATCATATTGGCATTTCATGTTGCAAGCAACCAAAAAATGCAAAAACTAATTTTTCAAAAGCTGTGCTGACATGTCAGTAGACTCTAGATCTTTGATAAAAGGAAAAAAGAAAGATTTCTTTGATAAAAGCAATGATAAATTTTTCAACCTCACAATCAGAAATGACTTTGCTTGTGAGCAAAAAGGCTTTAGAAAGTTTAGATGGTTGAAGGCCTGAGCGCCTGTTACTTTTCTCAGAAATTGCAGCTGAAGGCTGAAGATGCCCTGCATGTGCAGGAAGTCTTTGTTTCTCTTGAGAGTAATAGAGTTGATACCTGATCTGTGCTGGGTGGCTGCCTGTGCCCCTGAACTTTCAACCCTGGGACAAATCAAGAGATGCCATCCATGTTCAAGAGTGTCTAATGTGTATAATTGATGTTTTCATAAAAAAATGTCACTATGTTAGATCTATTGCTGTTTAATGATATAACATTTAAAGATATGTTACAAAATTAATGTGATTCAGTACATGCCAAAAAGTTTCTGCGTGTTTACTAAAAAACTCTACTTTAGAATCATGTGCTTTGGTTACTTCTTGCTGGCCATTTAGTCTACCAATTAAAAATGAAATCCTATTGTTGATATTTCTATCTATGAAATATGCAGCAAGTATCAAAAGGATTACTTAATTTGTTGCTTAGTATCATTATATGATTTCAGAAAGGATGCTTAGATGGAAATTTCATCCCTCATTCCATTAGTCCAGACATGTTTCAAGCAGATTTTAGATGGTGATGAGTGATTGGTTGATCCCCAAGTAATGACCAATGATCAACTTTGTTTCATCTACGAACTGTAAATCTTAACCCTTGTCCTGCTGTGCGCAACATATGTCGCGCGGCACATACAGTACCATCTATATAACACCCTGTATAGGTACGATTTGGGGGTATTTCTCGTGCAACGCATCACACCGCAGCGAAACGCAACGAATGCGGAAGTAACTATGCCACTGCAGGGCAAAAAAAATTGGGGGGCTATGATCTAATTAAGACATGAAATTATTGAAAAATATTGTGCCAGGAATGCCAGCAGGACAAGGGTTAAAATGCTCGCAGTGGTTTTACTTTTGTAGTTTGTTACGGTAACCTCAATCACAACAGTGCAAAAATGTATTTTCGTTGCATTGCTAGGTGTACAGTACAGGTACTACAATAGAATAATTATAAATTTTAGCATAGCGAAAACCTCCTTTTTAATTCCCTCCTAATGCAAGATTACAATTGTAAGTCCCCACAAAAATAAACAAATTCACAGTCCTTCAAAGGCCTTTTTCATTGATAGCTGAACGTGATTTTGTGGTCATGAATAGAATAGTTGAAGAATAACGCATGAATTACCAGAAATAGTTTCCCAAAATAAGCACTAGTTCAGGGTTATTTGAGAAACACTGTGACCTTACAACAAAACCACTCTCTGTTCCTGGTTTGGTTTGTTTTTTCTGCCGTATATTTAGAACCATGTTTGGTTGGAATGTCCTACGTATGTGGGGTGTATTACATGGCTCATAACTCTCCTGGCTTTATTGATGTTGATGGGACCCAAATTGTCAGACAGCACATTCGTGATGCTGACTGGATTTTTACCACGTTTGGAAATGTGGCCGGCATGTTTTTGTGTCGACGGCTACAGAGCGTACTTCCGCTGTCACACAGTATACTTTACAGATGTGCATGTGTGCAGGACTATTGATGATGTGCAGGAGGTTATAAAATATGCACTTAGTAAGCAGTATTGGAGTTGAGTCACTGACGAAAAGTAGTGGATGCTACTTGAAATGTCTGACAGTTTTCAAAACCTTGAGTTGCTTGAGTAACAGGTGTGAGTTGGAGTTCGATTGTTCACATAATGAAACATGCAAAAAAAAAACAGCAACATACAACTAGATGGCATTGATATCCTTTGAAGTATTATTGAAGGAAATGTGTTTTTATTATAAACTTAATTATGATTCCAATTTTGTGCCCATTGAAGGCTTCCTGACCTTCCCTCACACCCTAGAAAGCATCACGTGGACAGGTAGTCATTAGGAAGTGTAATTTTACACATTAGTGTTACCATTAGCACATCATTAGCACAATAGGCCCCATTGTCCTCCTGTGACATGGCAGGTATGGCATAAACACTGCTGTATCAGGTGTATATGTAAGGGGGAATGTCAGAAGATGATAGGACTAGGAGTAGTCCTGTGTGCAGTTTTGTACAGGCCTTTTTCTGTGCACCTTATTTGTTATCAAAACTAGATACCACTGACATTACCAGTATGTTGTAAAACTTTCAGTGGCTGACTTCATTTTCCCCTCAGACTTTCTTTGTTTTAATGTGAGAAAAAACAAATGAATTTGATGTGGGCCTAAGTAGTACAGCAAAAAAAAATCCTGTTCTTTGAATATAAGTATTAGTTACTAGTAAATGTTTTTGGAAATTCCTGTGTTTTAAAAAATGCTACACACTTCATTGTGATGATCTCAGAAAGAGTGAAACCGTTGACAATTTCAAAAGTCGTTGACTGAAGTGCTTTAGGATTGCTGAATCCAATTCAATTCTATGGCCATAATTGACAAGTAAAGTCCTTTCTGCCCCCCAGGGCATGACATTTAGGAGATTATCTGGACTAACATTAAAGGATTACCTGTGGTTTTCTCTAGAACCACAATGTTTTTCATACAGTCTCACCTAATCTATTGTGATTTTGTAACTTTTCAAAGTTCATTGCAATCTATGGCACTGCATTGCAATTTATTTTATTATGAAAAGTAATACAAACCTGTTTGGAAATTTAAATTAGGTAAACTTAAGGTTGACTTGCTGTCTTGTATTGATAAAGATGAAGTCTTACCAGAATTAGACCCACCATCTCTGTTTTCTTGTTCTTCCACTTCCAGCCATCTAGTATTAAAAAAACAAACAAATTGAATTGGTGTGGCCTTAAATGTTACAGAATCATTATTTTCTACCTAAACATTGTTTTGTTGTGTGCTGTGCCGGACACCACTTGACTTTGACTCACAGGTGGACACTCACACCTTGTTGTTACACCTGGTCCCTTTGACCAATCTTGTTGTCCCATCTAATGTCTTTGTTACTCCTGTTGATCCAACATGAATGTTAACATGACTGCCATTATGAGCAGGGCAAAGGTCAGGGTCTAATTTAAGAGGAAGGGTAAAAGAATACCTTCATGACCTTGAGGTAATAAGTGTTCCTCTGTCAAGCAATTAGGATAGGAGACAGAAGTCTTTGTACTTGTGGTGGACTCTTGTAGTGTTGAGATGTATATGGTATGGATATCATGACCTACCACACGTAGAGAATGATATGCATTTAAGCCTACATTAAAGTGTTTACAAGTAAGTGGAGGAAATTTTAACAGTTTTCTATCTGCAAGCCTGTGGCAGAACGAAGTCAAACAGTAATGATATATTAATATTTAGTTTTCTTCTTCTTTCTAGTCTCTACTCTGTGGCTAAGAAATCAATTAAACAAGGTGTGACCTTGCCATTGCATATGACGACAAAAGATGAATGCCTTTATGCAGTATAATTGTTTTCTTTATTGTTCTTCATTGGGGCATAGTACCGTGTACAACAATCCTATAGGAGACAATTGTTGTTCCTACTTGTGACGAACATTGCGTTTTCATTGACCCAGTATATAAACTTGGCTTTTGTTTGTAGGTGCCAAGTTTGGCAGAAGGTTATCGAAGGTGTAAAGCAGTACAGCTGAATAGTTTCCTGTGTTTTGAAAAGCCCTGGGAACTTGGCCAGTTGTTGAAACTAAAGCTCGTTGTTGAAAGTTTTCATCTTTCGTCGGATGAGAGTGTAGTTTTCAGCATACCAGTGTGGGGTTTAGGTTGTGTGTACTCAAGTAAAAGGAGGGTCAACAGGGGGTTATCATGTGATATGTTTGCTCATGTTTGTCTGTGAGGGTCACCAGGGGGTTATCATGTGAGTTCTTCTTGGTCTGAGTTCTTCTTGGTCTGACATTGTCCATAGAACTGGCTTCGTGCCAGGCTACTGTAAATTGTAACATGTTTGAAATGTGTTTTTTTTGGCTGCAATGCGGCATAAATGAATTTACAGTATTTTGTAATACTTTTATAAAGGTAGAAATTACTGTGTTATGGCACAATGGCAGTCTGTTAAGTATATTGAATGCTGGTACCATTAGCATAAAATATTCATATCTGACATATAGCCATAAATGTTAAGTGCCCAACCTTGTCAAATTGCTAGCCTCGTGTAATATGGTGTCTAATGAAATGTTAAACATTATACATTATACATTTTGTATTGTTGATTTAATGTTGTTGGCACCTTTTTGTTTGTTATTCGTTCACTCAATTTAGATCCATTATACCTATTCAAACCTGTGCAACTTTGAAGCTTGAAACCCACCTCACACCATTTCTGAACTGTCCCTCAATCTCTATTTCTTTGAAAATAAAAACAAAAACCTGACCAAAGTTTACATACCCGACCTCAAAACAAGTCACCGACCCCCAGGTTACTTACCTCATGTTGTCAGAGAAGTGTGTTAGGGTCAAAGGTCAGTGTCTAAACAACTTCCCGCCAGGTGCGGATCATCCTCCCCGAGGTTTGCTCAGGTGTGACAGGTCCTCTCACCTGTGGGGCGGTTGGCGAGGTAGATCGTTTTTCCCTGAACAGGTAGAGACAGGGCCGTCTTTCAGCGCGGACGTTTACAGGTAAGCCTGTTGTATTGTGAAGAGTTAAGTAACCAGACGGTATATCAGTATCAAACATACATGTGGTACAGGTATGGGTCAGGTAATGTCACCTGGGGGGTAGGAAGGGGGAGGGGACAGGTAGTTACAACGTACACAATATTTTGTACAGGTAACGTGAAATGCATTCATTGGCAAGTGAACCTGGCTTCAGTCATAATGAGAATTTCTAGAGTACGTAGATAGTGAGGACTTTGCCACTAGTTGCCATACAGTTGTGAAATGAATACCTGGTCCAGTATACAGTCAAAACTGTCCAACATCAGGGGACTGAGAAAAAATGTGGTCTATGAAGACAGGTGGTCACAATATACTTTAAGTCTAATACAGGGTTCTTGTTTGTGTCAATGGGTAAAGTTTTCTAAGGCACCACCAAAAAGCAACTTTTTGGTGCTTTTTGAAATGTTTCATGCAATGCGGATTCATGCAAGATGGCTCTTATATACAGGTGTTGACTTGTTGAGGTTTGACTGTACAATAGTTTCAAAGAAACATTAAATTGTTACAGAAACTGTACAACAACAAATGTCTCTCTATGTATATATTACATAGTAAAACATTTCAAATTGGCCCAACTTGTCACAGTTTTCTGCAGCATTTCTTACATACAGAGCTGTAAAGTGAGTGTTTTTACAGTTTGTGTGTTTATGTGTACACTTCAGACAATGGTGCATGTCACGGTGAGTTATGAGGAAAGATGGTATCACTGACAACTTCCTTTGACAGTGTTTACTGGATGTGTCTAAATTGGCAGGTAAATTCTACGTGACAGTTGATCTCACCTGAGTTAGGTGTAGGTGTGGTCTGGAAGACACTTTCAGATGGGTAGATCAGGTGTGTTTAAGAAGGGAATTAAGGTTCAAGACACGTACCTTTATTTTTGTGTCAGTTGGCTCAGCATTTTTAAATGTAGCCCCATTATAGAAAAGGATGTCAGCCATTTTTTTCTGGATGTGTTTTTAGATATACAAAAAGGGGAGAAAATATATTTATTTGTTTTTCTTCATATATTTTCTTAGGTGTAATCTCTGTAAGTCCTGTTACTATAGGAACCGAAACCCTGTTTAATACCATGTTAATTTACCTGTTTGAACACGTGTGTGCCCTAAGGTCACAGGTGTAAACTAGTAATTACAGGATGTCAGTAAATATTGAATGATAGCAAACGGCATTCCTTTTGACACATGTGATAAATGTTGGTGGTATATGGCACAGTAATTAAACATCATTTTGACTCACTGTCTTTCATAAATACTGTATTATGTAATAATATGTCACAATGGGAAACAAGTTTGAAGAAGTTGCCCTGCTTCATTTTAGATACATATGATAAGACTGTCATTCTTTGTTTAGTTTAGCCAAGGTGATAAAGTTTGTAATCTTAGATTAGACTGTAAGAGAAACTGCAGAATGCATGGTTCAAGAAAGGATGTCTGTCCAAACCATAAAAGCCAGGTGTGTAATGGACACTAATGCTTTCAGTATGACGGCATGACCACATATTTGAACAGGCTTTCCCTTGTCAAGAAATCCTCAAAGCAGCTTTAAGCTTTTTATTTTCCAAAGTCTTGGCGGTGACTTCAGGCGGACAGACAGAGGAATTGATCAGAAAAGAAGAATTAGCCCTTTTTTTCTGAGCGCGGCGTCAGTAGAGGCTGAGTGACGTAAGAAATGTGAAAAATGCTTTTGTGGAGGAGATTTCGCTGGGAGGTTTTCTATGCTTTGGGACACAAAGACCCTTTTTGTGACCTGTACCATAGACATTCCTCCCGAACGGTTGAAGCATTTAAAGTCTGAAGACTTCAAGCCGAATAGGAGAAGAAAAAAGGGCAACCGTCAAAACTATTATCTGTATTGTACCGTCCTACAAAGACTTTGAGAAGTATGCAAAACTGTCTTTGTGTGAGTCCTCCAATTTTCCAAGCCCTTTTATCAAGGTCAGATAAATCTTCCTCTAGTTTTTTTATTTTAAATCACTCTAATCTAATACTCTCTGATTGCTTTTGAAAAATTGATCTCTTTTAGAGGATATGTCAAAGAAGGAAAATTCTTGTGTAACGTTATGTACAATGTATGACTACAGTATAAGTTTATGTATTCAGTACTGTAGTTTGTTTTTGAAAAAGTTATGCATATGTCACACTTGAAAGAAAATAACAAACAATATGTTGTCATCTGTGCCAAAAACAGCTTTTCACTGCATACATGCTTAACTCAGCAGATGACCTATTTTAAGAACTATTTCAAGGTTTGTGGGCCCGAAAAGTCTTTTTCTGTATGCTTGACTTTTATTGTAAACCTCCTTTCACTTAATGCAAATAGAAAAGTAAATAGACTGTAGCGTAACTTCTTCAAGTTCTTGTTGATGCATGAAAACTTGCTTTATGTAACTTCCTGTTACCATGTTTAGTTTACTGTACTCTAAATTCATTTCTTTTGCAACGACAGTGAATCATTAAACTAGCTAGTACTACTAGTAGTAGTGTGTAGCATAGGCATGCTTTTTATATTCCATTGACTTAACTGTTAACAGATAAAGAATATTTATATTTTTATATACCATGGATTTGCCACGTCTCCTGTTACTCTTGTAGATTTAACTGGCTCCTTTCCCAAATACCCATGGACTTTCGAAGAAAGGCCTATACTTGACACAGGTGTGCAGTGTGAATGCTGTAATTACTCTAAGCCACTCTCAAATTTCGGAATGCTGTACATTGTTTCTCCTGCTTCTTGTTTCTATGGTAACTCTACCGTGAAAGACATCCGAACAGATGTATTCTCTGTCCGGTAGAAATCATATTTCACAACAGTGGCTTTGTGACGTTTGAGAATACCGAAACGTACTGTCATTTCAGGTGTGCTAGCAGGTACAATGTATTGCTTTGTTGGTTCCACCTCCGCAAACGCACTAGCAGGAACTCAATACAGGAAACTCTTTATTTCCATTGTGCTGCAAAATTTCAGTGCCCTGAACTTGAACAATATTTACAGTACAGAACAGATGACTAGCAGGCCTCCTGGTGTGAGTAAGTAGTACCCTTCCCAAGTTACCTGTCCTGTTTCCAGACCAGAACTGAGAAAGCAAATAGACTTCTTTAGTACCATTAGCTTCAACTTGCAACATAAACATTCTACATCTAGACTATAGTCTTGAATTTTTCAAGTATTTTACACTCCATAGGTTGTGCAAGCCTGTTTTGGTACAAAGAAATAAATCAAACTTTCTTTCTGAGGGACATGAAAACATTTTAAAGATTGAACACAATACCAGGGGGTTACGTTTTCATAGCTCAGAGGAATTACCACATCATGTTCCTTTTGGCAAGACCGTTTTACTTGGGCAGAGGGGCACTAGAGCTAGCCTTACAAAATGTACCCTGACATAGTCAAACTTAACATGCACATGACAAACTATACGTTGATCAAGCTTTATTGAAGTCAGACTCTTTTTATCCCTCCTTTTCTTAGAAAATTGTGTTTTCATCATAATTGCTTCTTGTCAGACAGCAAGATCTTTTTAAAATACCAAATGTAATATACAAACTTATTATACAATTTGAGTTCATGTCATTATTTGTCATTCCAGAAAGTAAACATCTCATTTTCAGTACAGGTTTTAAAATGTTTTTGGCATATCTCCTACATGTGCTACCCTACATGTGCTCAACTTTGTGGTGTTTTCTGCTCTCAGCTCAGTAGCAATTGGGGTCAGGTTAGGGTCGTTCACAGATCAGTTGCCAGATGTTGTAGTTCATGTTGAACTCAGCAGGTCTTTGATTCATTAACTTGAGAATCCCTGTGGAGTTAGGTAGACTCTGTGAAGTTTAATCCAAGCTGCAGAGCTAGCAAAGTACTTAATGTTGTATATATACTGTAGGCCTGGTCAGCAGTTGCAAGGAGCTACTGTCAGCTTGAAATGAGCATTATATTTTTACATAGCTGCCGACCCCCTGAATTTTATGCAAGCATAGAAGGAATCCCCCCATGCAGAACCCCTTCACCGTCTTTACAGAGCTTGAATCCTCTTTTGTAGCAATATAATTCAGGATTTTCCTAACATGCTGACTCAGTTAATGGAGTTTTGCTATCACCAATGATAACTGCCGCAGTATCTTAGTACTAACAGAACTGTCTGGTCAACAAATAATGGAGTCAGGTGTCAGGAAGTTTTTACAAAAACTTTAAAAAATTCAGCTGAAGGTCGTTGACATTTGACGCCAGTTAGAAGCAGATGTGCAAGGAGTAGACGGACCTGTACATACAGAAATTTTGTTTGCCCGTCTGTGGTCCAGTTGGTCTAAGGAGTTAGAAACCACAATATAGACCTGTGTACAAGATAACACTTTTGGTGTGCACCGAAGCATGCTCACTGTTTGGAAACAGGGGACTTGCTTGATCGGGTTTCCCAGAACATCATGTACCTTGTACTAGTTGTAACCCTGCAAACCCCCCTATTGTTGTATTGGAACGTTCTGGCAATTAGATCTTGGGCTTCGTTGCTTAAAGAATATTTGTATTTGTATGGTATACTGACAAATGAAATTATACATGTAGGTATTTGCTACGAAAGAGTGTGTATGGTATGTGTGTTGCTTATGTTATAACAATAAAAAATTTCTCTTTTGCTGGCCCTTTCATAGGTACTATTGGACAGTTTCTCAAGTTGGAATTCTCATTTATTGAATTTTCTTCCTACACAAAATCTTGAACAGAATGAGTGAAAAATCATTTGTAAACAGACCAAAGCCAAACGTCTGCTTGGAGATTACTGTGGTAGTTTTGTGGTAAACTAGATTGACATACATGGGTACAGGCTTTTAGCTAGGATTTTTTTGTTGGGTGTCCATTTTTTTATTGTACGCAGCAAAGACGCACAGTGTGTGACCTTTTTAGGGGGGCTTTTTGGACATTCATGATTCTCTCAAACACAACTTTCTGCATTTTGAGGAATTTG